AATGATTTCTCGTGTAACTCAGAGAATTTAATATACATCATAACATGCAAAGGTTGCCACAAACATTACATTGGTCAAACAGGGAGAAACAAACATTGACAGTTCATCGACAACAAATTAAGGATTTATACACCAGAAAAATACTCCTTAACCAACATATTTCATAAAAGACATCTCTTCGATGAAGAGGAAGGAGTCACATTCTGGGTAGTTTCCCCAACATGTCCCGATTGCCATCTTTCCGAGCTGTCCATTGTCTTTCCAATCGTCACCATGACTGTTCCTTGGTTATCATCCGTTCTCTTCTCTTGCGTCACTGTTATTGGCAGACTTATATTTCGCAAAATACATCTCTTCAATGAACAGGAGGGAGTTGTCAGCGATGTGATATCCCTGGGTTCCTGGAGAATTTCGGGTCTCTCAACATCGTAGTCTCTCCCCCAAACGACCCAATCAGGGCTGATCGGATTCTGATTTCCCGTTGTTGTTTTATTATTATTATTATTATTTTTTTTTTTTTTTTTTTTTTTACAAACTTTGCGTCCATTTTGATGTTAGGATATTTGGCCGTTAGGCGGTTCCGTATTTTTATACGTTACGCTTTGGTCACGTTACCTCCAGCCAATGGCGTTTGAGTTCTGCTCAACCGCTAGCATTATATTTGTCATTTATGCTCCTGCCCAGGTTTGGCGCCAATTTCATTACCAGGAAACCAATGCACGAGCTGTGGTAAGTTTTTTTTTTTTTTTATTTCTTCCTAATTCACGAAAGGGAATTCTTTTTTTTTCTTCTCTTGATAAACCCTGTTAGCATTTATATCGAACACACACACACAAAATTACAAGAATTATAAAAAAAAAAATCCTAATGGCTACGAACAAACGGCTGGTTCACATGAAATAACTATTTACAAATTATTTATCCGCAAACCATCAACTAGCAGAAAAGAAATTATACATTCGTACCACCTAAGACACTGTCGACCACACGATGTTTTTTGTCTTCAGTTCTTTTTCTAGTTTACAAAAAAAACAAATACGAAAAGATTTTCCTTTTTTTTCTTAATATTTGTTTCATAATTTGTGGATATTAATTTTAAATCATACATTTCATTTCTTTATCTTTTTGACTTTCTTTTTAGAAAAACTTTGACAGCAGAAACTCATTTACAGAAGCTTTTTAAAACCATTGCTAATGACTGTAAATTAAATTTAATTATTAACAATTGCCATAGTCCAACTGTTATTTTAAATTAATTTTATGAAGTTAAACTTAAAAAAAAAAAAAAAAACAGTTTTAAGAATAAGTTCCTTTTTATTTCATAAATTTATCTGGTCATGTTGTAATTTTAGGGTGGGGGCGCGAAAGGGTAATAGCGCTCTGACTACTTCTCTACAAGTTTAATAAAACTTAAGTCTAACGTCTCGCTAAACCGAAATAATTATCACTGTGTATACAGGTGGGAGGGGACATGATAAACACACACACACACACACATATATATAGCAAAAAACGGGAGGGAGTTCTTCGCAGATTCGCTGAATAAAGTACCCGCCAATACCACCACTAGTTCGCGTCCATCCTTCAATTCGTTGGGGGACAGACACAAATCGATAGCAACATCGGCACCCACTTCACCGGCAAGCACCTATGAGAGAAGCTGATACGCCATTCGCCCTGCAAAAACAAAACAAAAAGACATAATGGCTAGCTTAAACAAAATGATTTTTTTTTTTTTATCTACAATTTAGTTTGTTGAAACTTAAGTTTAACGGCTAACTAAACGAAACAAATATCACTATTTATACAGCTGGGAGAATGGAAGAAGGATAATAAATAAATGACTAAATAATTAAAAAAAAAAAAAAAAACAATTGAAGTGTCTCCATCGTTATTTTCTAACCCACGTATTCCCACTCATTATTTATAACCACTTCGCGGTTTTCTCAGCAGTCTCTGATACATTTTTGATTGCTTTATTTTTCTTATTCCCTGTCAGACCGAAACTTGTCAGAGTACTAATTAAGAATCTTACAGCGAATCTTCTACACCCTAATTCAATCGGTGTAGAGTTTGTTTCCCGGCCTTTCTTTCTGTACTCTTCCACTAACTCTTAGTATTTTGTTTCTTTCCCGTTCATTTGTTTCTTCTACGTTGTCCTTCCAAGCCACAGTCAATCCCAAAAGAATTTTCTTTTTTTTTTTTTTGAGTTAGTACAGACAAGATATAATCACATTATCTATGTGATCGAGAAATTTCAGTTGTCTCCCCAGATTCACCCTCTTCAGATTGATGAAAGCATATTTGGTGTCTCTTTGTTTCTGTGATTGTTTCTTCTCTCCGGCTTTAATGAAATTTATTCTGCGGCTGTTCGGTTTTAGGCTGTTGGAGCAGATTACGGTATTAATTTTTGCCTGCAATTGTCTTTTAATATCTGTTCGTGGCGCCACCGATAACATCCGTCAGTCAAAGCTTTCGAACACCCGCTTAGTATATGTTGCAGTGACCCTCTACCTGCACATAATAGGCAAGCTGGGGACTACGTTTTATTCCAGGTATGGAGATTTGTGGGTCTTGGCAATACATCGTATACCGCCTGCACCAAGAACTTTAGTTGATTATAACTTTATTCTCCAATTTATCATTTCCTCGCACCTTGTCCAGGACCCTTGCTGACTTGACCCAACCATCTTAGTCATTCTTTCTTCTACTCCTGCGCGAATTTCTTCTTGTATAAGATGATTTTGCTCCTTTCCTTTAATTGTCTCTATTTGTAGGCTGGGAACATAACCCAGACCTGTCTTCTCTTTGCCAACTGCTCATACGAGAGTTTTTTGTCGCAATCTCTCTTCTGCCACTTTTAGTTCATTTGTACCACTCCATTTTCTACCTGATTGGACCGCAATGCCTACCTTACTTTTGGGTCTATCGAATCTTTATATTGCACTTGTGTTCTTGTTCTAGTAACTATATATTCTTCTACTAAACCGCTGAATGGGAGTTGTAACGCATTAGATTTTCCGTATAGGGCTGCGTTACTAAAACACCTGAATCCTAGCCACCACCTCTCATACCCACTGATATTCCTCTCCATGCATTCTACTATTGACATTGAAAATCGCCAGTGGCTACAGGACTCTCGACAGAATTGCATGTTGGTATATCCGTGCTTTTATTCGACCGGGTGATCCAGATTTATCGACCTTAGCCGGGTTTGGAGGTCTTTAATTGTCTTCTGGATTGCTGTCGTATCTCTTAGCGTACAATCAAACTTTTTCCCAAAAATTTTAACTGATTTCTCGGTTAACGGTATCTCCGGATACTGTGAAGTGTATCTTTTCAGTTAACCTGCCTTACTTCAAAACTATTGAGTTTGGCGGCTTAAATCTCATCCTAGCCCACAAAATTAGATTTCTAGTCTTTTTAGTAGTAATTCCCTCCAATAATTCGATGATGTCGTAATTGTCATGTCGCCCATATATGCTCTGATAGGTGGCTGTCTCACTCTAGTTTGTGTAATCAGGCCTATGCATTCTTTTTCAGCTGATTTTATAATCATGTTCATGGCTAATGTGATAGGGTGTTTGAAATAGTGCAACCTGTTATCCCCCTTTCAAATGTATGGCATTTCGACATGTTTATCCCTATCCTGATTCTCATCTTGAAGTTGACAGTAGTCCATGATTAGGTCCCTGATTTTGTTAGATACGTGGTGTTTTTACAGTGCCTCGTCTACTAACTTGTGTGGGGTTGAGTGATACGCATTTCTAAGATTTAACCATGGAACTACCAAGCCTTCTTTGCTCACTTTAGCATTTTTCAAGAGCTGTATCACCACTCCTTATGCATCCTGGCAGGCCTAATATTTCACCACTTTTGAACGGATGCGTCGATGTATTCGTTCTTTAACAAGAATATAGCTAATAGTCGGGGCAGAAAGCTGATGAATATCTTGCCATCTGTGTTTAATAGTTCTAAACTGCTCGATGTTTCTGGGGTTTTCTTTTGGGATCCATATTCCTTCCGAGTCTTTTTCACTGATCAACTGCTCTGCCTTTGTGCCATATTAAATTTAGTAGCCTCCATAATTGGCGAAGATGATCTGGGCATTGTTTATAAATCCTATATGGAATTCCGTTCGGACATGGAGCAGAAGCCGACATGGCTGATCTTATCACTTCCTGAACTTTGCTCCAGATTGGTTCCTTCATATTGAATTCTGTCATTGGGGCTTCAGAGCGAATTAGAGATCTGATAGGGCCAAGATCCTTTTCCTTGTTTGGGTCACCCAGCATTCGTTGCGTATATGTATTAATCTCTAATACGGAGTCTTTGAGCTGTCTGCTCCGTTTGTCCCCTAATAACTTATTTGTAAAGCCAAACGGGTTTGATATAAAGGCCCTCCTCGTCCCTGATCTGTCTTTTCCCCTTTTCCTGGGACCCTCCGCGCTATGTAAAGTTTTTAATTTTTTTTTCTTGCTTAGAATGTCCCGGAGTTCTGAGAGTGGCTGACGTTCATCGAGTTACACTAATTTGTAACGTTTTTAAGTTTCCTAAGATCTTGACTTAATGACTGGATCTGTAATTTCTCTGCGGTTCTTGTCTTTGTTGTTGAACCCTTTTTTTGCTTCGATGAGACCGAATCGTTCAGTGGCGTAACTGACTATTTTAGTCGACATGGTTCTTAACCACCTGCCATCATCCCCTTTTGATGTTCTGAGAATTTCGCTGACATCATCGTCGAAGCTTTTCCATCCGTTGTTGTCATTTGCCAATAGCCACTTGATGCGAGTTCGAATTACCGTGCTTGGTGTTGTGTTGACAGGTGGTGTGATTCCTGGCATGGCCCCTCCTGCGTCTCACCAGAAGTAACTGCTGTGCATTGCATCTGTTGTGGTTCGACCGAACATTTCATGTGGGCTTGATATATCTTTAAGCCATCTTGATTCTTACATATTTTGCCACAAATACATTTTTTGCTAATGTTCCGTTCTTCGTTTATGGAGGTCATTATTGGGATCCCTCCCCCCCCCATCCACTCGGAACGTCTTTCCCTCCATCCACTCGGAACGTCTTTCCCTCCATCCACTCGGAACGTCTTTCCCTCCATGCACTCGGAACGTCTTTCCCTCCATCCACTCGGAACGTCTTTCCCTCCATCCTATCGGGATCACTTTCCCTCCCCTCTCGGGACTCCTCAGGGGTATTTATCTGGAGGTTTGTCTGTCTGATTGCATGGGTTCTTCCTCGCGGAAGACACATGCTGGGTAGCTTCCCCAACATGCCCCGATTGCCATCTTTCCGAACTGTCCATCCGTCTTTGTAATCGTCACCAAGACTGTTCCTTGGTTGTCATCTGTTTTGTTCCCGGACGTCACTGTTATTGGCAGACTTCTATTTCGCAAAATATATCTCTTCATTGAGCAGGAGGGATTCGTCAGCGATGTGATATCCCTGGGTTCCTTGAGAATTTCGCGTCTCACAACATCGTATTCTCTTTCCCCAAGCGACCCAATCAAGGCTGATCGGACTCTGATTACCCCAGCAACATACTTTTTAAAAACTTCCCCTCCATTTTGATGTTGGTATATGGTCAAATATACCAAAAGGTGGTACCGTATTTCTATACGTTTGGTCACGTTACCCCCAACCAATGTCGTTTTAGTTCTGCTCGACAAATAGCATTATATTAATCTTGTAGCCAGAGTTTAGCGCCTATTTCATTACCAGGACAACAATGTATGGGCTCTGGTAAGTTTGTTTGTTCTTCGTTGTTCAAGAAAGGGAATTTATCTACTTATTTTTTTTCTTTTATTGGTAAACCCTGTCAGCTCATAGCACGAAAACATAAATTTAAAACAAAAAAAAAAAGTCCTAATGGCTACGAACAAACGGTTGGTTTGTATAAAATAACTATTAACATATGATTTATCCGCAAACCATCAGCTAGCACTAACGAAACATATTTTATATATATATATATATATACATAACCGGGAGGGGGTACCTCGCAGGTGCGCCGAAGAAAGTACCCGTCAACACCAATTCACGTCCATCCCTCAATTTGGGGGACAGAAACAAATCGATGGCAACATCGACGCCCACTTCACCGGCAAGCACCTACGAGAGTAGCCGATCCGCCCACACCCGACTCGCAAAATAAAAAAATAAAAAAAAACCACAACGGATATCCTATAATGTATAGAATAATGCGGAAGTGAAAATCTGACAAATTTTAATTATCTTCTCATTTCTACCAATCCAACTACAAAACTACAGAACAAAAGTGTATTAATATAGAAACATTTTTTCAGCAAGTTCAAACCGATTCGCAACTCCTTGCATAAACCAGAGGCACGTCCCTCAAAATAGATTCTATCCTATGTTCCTTAAACATAAGCAACATAAAACCAGTTGTACCTCTTGATATTGTTTCATTTGTTCAAGACATAAGCATCAACATATGGCAACATAAACATTTATAAACATTCTGAAAAGCTAAACGTGAAACATTTTTTTCTGAAAAAAAAGTAAAGCCATTTTAATTTTTCTCTGTAAAATTACATAAAACTATGAATGAATATTAGGTGATTTCCAAAACTCTCTCTCTCTCTCTATATATATATATATATATATATATATATATATATATATATATATATATATAATATTAGGCAGCAAGAATTCATCGAAACGAGTTTGATTAAAAAGAAATAAGGTATATTGGCTAAATATTTTGGGTGCTATTACACTTTAGCACATATAACACTGTCAACCACACGATGTTTGTTTTGTCTTCAGTTCCTAGTTTAAAAAAATCAAGTACGAATAAATTTGCTCCACAATTTGTGGATTTTAATTTTAAATAATACATTTCATTATCTTTCCGACTTTTATTTTAGAAACTTTTGACAGCAGAAACACATTTACAGAAGCTTTTTTAAGCATTGCTAGTGCTTGTAAATTAAATTTAATTATTGATAATTGCAACAGTCCAACTGTTATTTTAAATTAATTTTATTAAGTTAAACTTAAAAAAAAAAAAACTTCTTTTTTATTTTATAAATTTACTTGGTTGTGTTTTACTTGTGCGGGGCGAATGTATTAGCGCCAATTTTTTTTTATTGTATTTTTCCAGTATCTGTCTATATTTCTGAGATGAGGTATTATGTACACTGTTTACATTATTCGAACTATTGTCCTCATCTCTGTCGCCTTCTTCAGGTGGTTGGAATATCGAACTGAACCCTTTATTTCGCTTACTGGGGTAGACTGTTCTAGTTCCACGTGCCGTGTTTAATGGATATCAGTTATCTCCTGTTAATTCCCCTCTCCAAGTTCTCCTCTGCCTTAACCAGGTATTGTGAAGAAAAGGAAAGAGGAAGAGAGAAGGGGTTACTTACGGACGGGTTGCTTGAGCCTCGGGGGAATTGTGTCCAGCTAAACTGGAACCAAATGACCAACTGATATTTATGGTCTTGGTCGGAGGAGGATTGTGGGAAGCAGTTAGCCTCCTTATAAAAACCCTCCTCTGTATTCTGATTGACCTATTTTCTCTATCAGCCGACACGTGACTGGTTATTTGTCGTGCTGAAGGATTATTTCTTTTTTTCTGCTCTGTTACTCGACCTAGTTGGAGCAGGTCGCAAGAGGAGGATTCCTTTTGCAACCCTTACCAGGCTGTCGCTGCTCTCTTCTGGGTTTTCCCTACTTTACTGTGTCGAAAGTTTTTTTTTTTCCGACAAATTGCAAAAGGACCTTCTACAGAAATTTGTTTTTTCTTTTTTTTGTTAACGGCATTTCTTTAAAAAAAAAAAAAAAATGGATGTTACTAAAGAACAGATCCTTCATAGGTTGACTGTTCTTAAAATCAAAGTCGAGGAACGACTGAAGTTGTGTCGTGGAGACAGAGTAACGCCTCATGTTTTCTCTGTCTTCCGAAAGGATATTCTGCAATACATCTTCGAAATGGAGACTTGTATCACAAAATTAGAGCTGGGCTCCTTCCCGAGACGGACTTGCTTGAGACCGAAGCTGAATGGGCGCCTCGACTAATGGAGTACCACCGAGAACTGGGCGATCTGGATGGTTCATTTTCTCCCAGTTCCTGCTTGGATCCTGTTTCCCAGTCGTTTGGGGTTCCGTCAACACCTGGAAGAAGTTCGGCTTCCTTTGTTGTCAAACCTCCGCAAATACAAATAACGGGGGCCCACCTTTAGCGGACTTGAGATGGCTGACGACCACATGAGTTTCCGGAATTTTTGACGAGATTCGAAAACTGTGTGGTTGGCATGGCCAATGACTCTGAAAGATTAAACTTTCTGAAATGTTCCCTCTCCGACAGAGCTTTAAGACTGATTAACCATTTGAGTTGCACGGATGCCAACTATCAGCGTGCTCTTTCGGTGTTAAAGAGGGAGTATTTGGACATTGATGAGATAATCGACCAGATATTTCAAGACATTCTAGACTATGTTCCTAAAAAGGACATCTGCTGCTCTGGTCTGGGTGAATTTATCTCCAGGACTGCCTCTCTCTTGGAGGAGCTAGGGAATTCTTTTTCTTGCGACTTTTCGGTGGACGATTCTGGTGGAGCTCGCCTAATGGCCAAGATTCTTTTTCAGAAATTTCCCAAAGAATTGAAGGGGGAAATGATAGGACTAACAGGTAAACGAATACCATCATTGTCTGCCATATTGGAACTTACAAGTGAGGCAGTCAAACGATTACGGGTTAAGGGAAGCGCGTCTGCTGCTTCTACATTCACCACTGGCCAGGGTTCTTCTCAAAAAACCGCACGGAGGGCCACTGTTACTTCTTCCTTTCATGTGGATTCCAACAACCTGACTTCTGCTGGTTATTCCCGTAGCTTGCCCCCCATCCTATTGGTCACTTTTTTCAATGGAGAAAAAATGGTGTCAGTTAATTGCCTTTTGGACACTGGTAGTGGGCGTTCGTACTTGTCTGCTGATGTACTGAGGGACTTGGGTTCAGTTGAGACTGTTGGAGTCAGTTGTCGGCTTAGACTTTTCACCCTCCTTGGTGAGTGTGACCGGAATTTCACGGAGGTGGTTCTGGGAGTTGACCTTGGTTCTGGTGAGGCTTTGGCTTCCTCTGTTTTGGTCACTGATGCAATGGACTTGTCTGTACGACTGGCTCACTTGGAGACCCTGTTGGGTGCTTTTAGGGCAGCTGACTATAATTTGGCTGGCCAATTTGAGGCCGGGTCAGACCTTGTGCTTATCAAGGGCATTATTGGATTGGACCTTATTCATCGATTGATTACATTGAAGTTGGTCCCCTGTCTGAGGGGTTGGGCATTTTCTGTTCCGTCAGGCCTGGTTCCCTTTGGAACTGTGGACTCCTTTTTGTCAGGAGACAAGATCCCTTGTGAAGTGGCCCACCTCTCCTTTAATACTGTAATGGGGGATACCCCCGAAGTGAATTCCTCACATTTGTGCTTCGTTCTTGAAAACCAACCAACCTACCTTGACCCTTTGGCGGAGTTTTTTCCTGACAGTGCAGTACAAAGAGGATTGGAACGGATGTTTGACATGGAGTCCCTAGGAATATCTGATGAGGATACCTTCTCTGATTATGATCAAGAACAGATGAGACGTTTTAAGGATACTGTGGAGCTCAAGGATGGGAAGTATTACGTGGAGCTTCCCTGGCATTCTGATAAGTTGGCTCGGGTCCCATCCAATCACGCCGTTTCTTTGCGCATCTTGGACCGGGTGGCTTCAACCCTGACTAAAAAGAATATTTATCTGGAATACTTAGAGGTGTTCCGTCAGCAAGAACAGGATGGAATAATTGAAGAGATTTTTGTTCCCCAACACGAATTTGATAAATATGTGTGGATTCCACATCGACCGGTTTTCAGGTCTGACCCAACAGCTACTACCAAAATCAGACCTGTGTTCAATTGCAGTCTGAAGACTGGTGGTGGATTGTCCCTGAACGAGGCAGCTTACTCTGGGGTCAATCTAACTGGAGATATGTTGAAGTTATTATTGTCTTTCAGAACTAACAATTACGTTCTGCTAGCAGACATTCGAAAGGCATTCTTGATGATTCATCTCAAGTTGGAGACTGACAAAACCGGTTTTGTTTCTTCCTTAAGGATGGGGATCGTCTTCGCTGTTTTCGATATACCACCTTGATATTCGGGTTCACCTCAAGCCCCTTTGTACTGGGGTGTATCCTGAAAACTACATGCAGCAAGATACCCACTGGACGCTTGCCGCAGGATGATTGAGGACAGATTTTATGTGGACAACCTTGTAACATCGGAAGCAGATCCAGTGAAGCTGGCGAAATTGTACTCCCTGGCCCGTTTGGCACGGGGAACGTTTGCAGGAAGGCGGCTTTGTTATTCAGTCCTGCAACTCCAACGATGAGGCTCTCCGAGCCAGGATGAAAGAAGATGGTACACTGAGTGCACATGATGAAGAATGGGAGAAGGTACTGGGTTACCGATACAACCCTCTTTCAGAAGAGATGCACGTGGGCCACGTCAGGTGCGATCCCGATGCGTCAACAAAGAGGGGAGTGCTTTCTGAGTCAGCAAAAATTTTGACCCCTTATCTCTTTGTCTCCCAGTTACGGTTCGCAGCCGAATACTTATTAGGTCTATGTGGAAGAATGGTTTGGGTTGGGATGATCCTCTCCCTACTGCGGTTTTAAGTGATTGGAGGGAGCTTGCTGGGGACCTGTCTGGACTGAGTGACTTCCATTTTTTATCGAAAGGTTCTCGATGCGAGACAGCCTGGAGATATGTACCTCTTTTGCGACGCTTCCACGGAGGCATATGGATTTGCCGCTTACATTGTGCAAAATCATCGATCGTCCTTGGTGTTTGCTAAGGCTAAGGTCGCTCCGATGAAAGACAAAACTCTACCTGTTTTGGAGTTAATGGCTGTTTATCTCGCTTTCAAGTGCCTACCAACAATCCTGGACAACTGTGAAGGGTTTGTTCCAAGTAACTTATGTGTGGCTACTGATGCCCAAGTAGTGTTGTCTTGGCTCTTGTCTCAATCCATGGCCATCAAAAACATTTTTGCTAGAAACCGACTCAAGGACGTCCTGCAAATGAACCTTGGGTTAGAATCCCGTTACGGCCTGAAGACTCTCTTCAAATATGTGGATTCTGCACATAATCCGGCCGATCTGATCACGAGGGGAATGACGTTGAGGAAGTTTCGTTCCAACTTCCAATTTTGGTGTTCTGGTCCTTCTTGGTTGTGTGAGGGAATCATCCAGTGGCCGACACAAGACTTGCCTTTGTTTAAGCGAGACGTGCCAGCAGATGGCCCGTACTTCAGTGCACTGTTCTATGGTTCTGAACCAAGAATACCTCTCCGTCATACCCTTTCACAGGTTCTCAACATTTTCTGGGTTACTGAGAGTTACCTCACTGGTGTTCAAGTTCATAGCCATTCGGCTAGGACGGGAGTGGGATTACAGATCTAAGGCAGCCATTTACCTGATGAGAGTTCTCCAACGACATGAATTCCCTTCAGAGGTTGAGTATTTAATGAAGCCAGCAGGAAGATCTGAACCCGTCAGAGTTCGTGCCCTGGATCTTTTTTGGACTCGGATGGGTTAATCAGATCAAGAGGAAGAATCGACCGATCTTCATATTTTACCTATGAAATCAAGAACCCTATCCTGATAGGGAAACACCACCCTGTGACCAGACTTATTATTTTGGATTGTCATATAAAGTGTTGTCACCTTGAACTGGATCTACTTTGGCTGAGTTGAGGCGGAGCGGCTACTGGGTCCCTCAAGGAAGACAGGCCGTCAACAAGGTTCTAAAGTCATGTGCCAGATGCAAACGATACAATTCGCGACCAGTACTGCCGAGTGCTGCGGCCAGCTTACCAACTCATCGAGTCGAATTTGAGGTCCCTTACCAGCATACAGGCGTTGATTTCACCGGCCATTTCTGGGTGAATGATGGTAAGCAGGACAAGAAGATGTACTTGCTCTTGTTCACGTGCTTGAATATCAGAGCAATACATATTGAGTTGGTTCCAGACATGAGTGTGCTATCCTTCTTTCAAGCCCTGGTTCGCTTCACCAACCAAAGTGGAGTTCCGGAAGTAATCTACAGTGACAATGCTAAAACCTTTCTGGGAAGCGGAAGACTTTTTAGTCGCCTCTCTGTCTTCCAGGAGTATAAAAGCAAGTATGGTTCTTGCGGGTTAAAACTAAAAACCATCCCTCTGTTTTCACCTTGGTATGGGGGGAACATGGGAGCGTTGCATTAAAACGGTGAAGGATTGCCTTTTTAAGATTCTTGGCAGAGGTAAACTGGATTATTTTACCCTCTTGACAGTGGTCTCTGATATTCAGAGATCGGTCAACAACCGACCTCTGACCTATCAGTTGTCTGCTGATAACAATGCTGCTGCTATCACACCCAACATGTTACTTAGGCCCAACAAGAGTCCGGGGCTGTTGTTGCGATTGAACAAAAATGACATCGCTTCTGCAGTACCAGCCAGTAGAAAAAGGCTCGTGGAAGCAATGGACATCAGGAACCAGTATTTATTAAGGTTCCATGAGTCCTGGTACAAGGAATACCTTCTGGAGCTGGGAAGAAGGGTCCCGGGACGCACACGGTTGCGGACAGAGAACCGGCTTCAGAAAGATGATGTGGTCCTGATTAAGAGTCCTCTGAAACCGCGACCATTTTGGGTCTTGGGGACAATTACAGATCTCATACCCGGTGATGATGGTGTGGTCAGGTCTGCTCGTGTCCGAAAGGGGGGTGGTCTCGAAGAGGTACACTCTTTGAAACACCTCTACCCACTGGAACTTTCCCTGACAGCTAACCGTTCTTCTGAGTTACCAACTAGTGGTCCTGTGTCACCCCCTGGGAGTGCTTTGATTGCAGAGAGGGACGAGGTTCCATCATGTTCTGCTGCCAACGATGAGGAGCATGTCTGGTTGTGTCCTGTGTGCAACTCTCCTCAGGGAAATCTGGACATGATCGGGTGTGATTCTTGTGATGAATGGTTCCATTTTCGTTGTGTTGGCATTGACGAGGAGCCGCCTGAAAGGCAGAAGTGGTACTGCCCTGAGTGTGCGCCCCAAAGACGACGCAGGGGTAGACCAAGTCTGCTTCCCGCCTAATTGGCAATCAGTTAGCCATTTAGAAATAAGAACTCAACTCGCCTGTCAGGGGAGAGACATTGTTACCCGTTTTTTTTTTTGTTTTTGTTCTTTTGTTTTTCTCTTCTCTTTCTTTTCTACACGTCTTTTTTTGTGTTTTTGCTGTCGGGAATGTGTGAAGAAAAGGAAAGAGGAAGAGAGAAGGGTTACTTACGGACGGGTTGCTTGAGCCGGGGGGGAATTGTGTCCAGCTAAACTGGAACCAAATGACCAACTGATATTTATGGTCTTGGTCGGAGGAGGATTGTGGGAAGCAGTTAGCCTCCTTATAAAAACCCTCCTCTGTATTCTGATTGACCTATTTTTTCTATCAGCCGACACGTGACTGGTTATTTGTCGTGCTGAAGGATTATTTTTTTTTCTGCTCTGTTACTCGACCTAGTTGGAGCAGGTCGCAAGAGGAGGATTCCTTTTGCAACCCTTACCAGGCTGTCGCTGCTCTCTTCTGGGTTTTCCCTACTTTACTGTGTCGAAAGTTTTTTTTCCGACAGTATTGAACTCACTCTTTGGGCCAAAATTTCACAAAAATATCTTGAAATACTCCAAAGTTTATTCAATAAAATCGTCGTTGGCTTCAACCACGGCCTCCAAACGACTTCGGAATCTCCTGCAGGTCTTCTGGAGGGTCTTCTTGCTTAAGTTGGTGAATGCTGCCGTAATGCGTTCTGTTCATCTTCGGTGTTACAAGTTTTGTTGGTCTTTCGCTCAACTGGACCCCACATAATGACATGGGAAGTTAGGTGGTCAGATGTAAGTAGTGATGTGGTCGCCGAAATTGTCTGACAGCATACCGTTTCCAAATTTCTGACGGAGCTAATTGCGTCATGCTGCTCTTTTTTTCTCACCGACAGTGCCCAACTGACCCTACTATACTGTACAGTTGACAAAATCAAAAACAAACAATGTGCATTAAATTATAAAAGAATTAAAAATATAAAATGGCGGCAATTTACCCATCACTCTCTCTCTCACACACACACTCTCTCTCTCTCTCTCTCTCTCTCTCTCTATATATATATATATATATATATAATGCGTTTTAGTTGGTTGTATAATAGTACCCGTACGACGTTTGCATGTATTTAATTAGATACCTCCATGAGATCGCTATAAAAAGAGCATAGCATGATGAAAAAGACGCCAAATTTGACGAAAACAAAATTTTATCGTCTAAACGTTTGTTATTATTAAGAGGAAAGATCAAAGTTTATTTTAATTATTTTTAAAAAATTTTCCTTTAGAACATTCTAAATTTTGATTAAAAAAAGCCGTGTTTCTCTTTGTATCACCGGAACTAGTAAAATAGCATAGACAATTTTTAGTACGTTTTTTTGTGTGT